TACATCCTTCCTATAACTCTTCGATTGCTAAGTGAACTATTAACTAGTCCACCTCACCTCACACACCATCATCTACATCCTTCCTATAACTCTTCGATTGCTTCGCAATCTTCGAGTTAAAAATGAATCGGCGAAAAAGCGAGTAATCACGAAGTTATACCGAATTACATTCGCACGCACTCCAGGCGATAGCATAGTGGCTTGAGCCTCGTTCCGAGGCACTAGCCACAAAAACGCTCGTGCAACCTGCAAATATTTTTTCGAGACAAGTTGCACGAAAAATCGTAGCGTGTGACACGGGCTTAACTCAATTCATTTTTCGCAAAAATATCTAGRCAATGTTTTTAATTATCACAAGTGTGAAATACGCCTACAAAGTCTAGTACTAGTACTTTTTTAATGCGATGATAACTTACTTTAAACTGTATACACTCTCTGGTCTATTCCTTAGTCTTGGATAAAATTCATCCTGCTCATATTTTACCATGTCCTCAGTAAGGAATGGCGCTTCAAGATTGCCGATGGTCAAGTCTGATTCCCGAAGGTATTGGGTAACCAGTTCGAACGTTTGGTTGTAAGAACAATATCCATGCTTGTCTTGGTAAAAGAAAGGCCCATCTAACGCAACATCACCCACGAAAACGAGTGTAACTATTGCGCCTTGAAAAGAAGAGGGTTAATGCTGTAAAAAATCCTTGTGTTTGTTTTGCTCTACGCTAATGTTTATTGAACACAGTTCAATCGCTTCAGCTACAATTTTACTAAATTTTGCTAAATCTTTGGTTAGATATTTGAGTAAAACAATAAAATACCTTTTACAGCTGAAAAGAATGACAGCAGTACTACCATAACCAAATGAAAATATSTACTGACTTTTGCCATTATCTCGATCTTCAAGAAAGGAAACACTGGATCCAAACGTTGATTTAATAATTTGACAGATTATTTTTTTGAAAATTTGTTGGTAACCTGCTGTTGACGCTTCGCAATTGACGTCGATAGATGACACATTTGACACRCTATCGTTTCAAGGTGRTGGCACGGGTACCTAGCGCAAAAAGTGAGGTGACGGTGAACAGAGACAAATRATTTGTAAAAAGATATCATGAAATATAGAACGTGAACTTTACAACATATGAGCTTAGCAAACATCTAGCAGAAAATGCAAAGGTGATAAACAGGCGTCCCGGATAAAAGATCTATTGCGCATGCCTCGCAACCTCTCTTGAAGTCACCAAACACTATTCGTACCCATGGACTTTTTACACTTCCTACTTGGCACAGGAATTAAATCCCTAATACCAATATTCAAAGTTAAATATGTCGGCTCCGTTGTATCCGACCGCACTATAAAACACCTCATTTTAAACCTCCCGAAAATCGATCCAAATTTGTGTCATTTTAGGGCTTTTTAATATAAGCACTTAAACTATAAATGAAAAAATAGAGCTTTAAGTGGAGGAATTTACTTTTTGAATGCTTGTTTTACAGAACATTTAACCCAGTACAACCTGCCTCATGGACGGGTCGTCGGCGTCTAAACCGGCACCCCCCACCAGTCTACACTGGTGAGGAGGGTGGCATGACACCCAGCAGGACTAAAAACAAAACCTGTCGAAGGGCGAATGAGCTTGGTTAAGCCACCGGGTGTCATGCAAAAACACTTGTTTATTGTGATGTAAATCTGATTGTTGTACTTTATTTTTTAGTTTGAGATCTTGGGACGGACTGTGCAGCGGCAGCCAGAGGCGCCAACTCAAGCTCACAGTCTACCAAGACTCTCATGTGTTTTGTAGTTGTCATGTAGTTTTAAAG